TTTCTTTGTCTTGGTGGACCCGGGACCAGCATGGGTGGTTCACCAGCAGGCAGCTCTACCCGTACGGTACTCTAGAGGCTCAGTGATTCTGGTTGCCAGCACGGGCGTATGTCGTGTGCATACTTTCCAGCAGTAAGAGATCGCGAGCATACAGGTACCGTACGGGCGGGTATGTGATTAGCCTGAAGCTTCATGCTGGGTGGCTCGGTTTGAAGTGTGAAGTCAGTGCGGAACGGTTTTGAGCCTCAACTAAAGCCATGCTATGATTTGAAGGCGGGGGGGACTTCTGCTGATTTTGACCTTCAAAAGCTCCAGGCAAAGAACCTTTTACCAAAGAATTCATTGTGCCGTTGCACCTAACATGGCACATTCGCTCATTCTTGATTGTCCTTCCGCGCATTCATGCCTTCTGCAAGTTTCACGTATAACGTCTGCAGACTTCGGTGTCTCGTTCTTTACTTTGTTACTTTAATTTTTCACTGTCTCTAAGATAGTTTGAGCAATATTTCTATAGTACTGTAAGTATAGTTTGGCTTGACTACTGACGATCTTATCTTACAACGCAAATCAAATTAAATTCATCCAGAACCCACGTATCCTCTACCGTACCAGGTATCTAGTTTGGAGCCTCTGATGCGACCTTGGGTTTTGACTTTCGTTTGCTCTTCCAGCTACCTTGCCGCCGCTGCTGCGGGACGATCGCCTTTTCTCATCATGATCATGCTGATGGTGGCGGTTGGATGATGCTCCACCCTTCGTAAAGATCTGGGTCCACGTGGGCCTGTCTGTTCGAAAGACGGCATCTCCAGCATTCCTGTCGGACAGCTTCATCCCCAACGCTCTCTTGGGAGCTCCTGGTTGTTCAAAGCTTTCTTCCATGTCAAAGTAGCTCCCTCCCACGACGCCACTCGGTCGTCCTTCGTCGGAGTTACTGGAAAAATCATGCATGGACGAATCAATGGTGCTGGACCTTCTGGAACGAGTGGAATGATCTTGCATGCTGCTGCGGTGACTTGTGTTGCTTCGACGGCTCGACGCTGAACCGTCCATTTCTCCCTTGGTTGTTCGACGACCTGACTTTCCCGACATGGTCTTTGGCTTTCTTGCAGGTGCACTGGCGGCTGGAGGTTGGCTAAAGCTGTAGCCTTCAAATACAATGGAGGCATCCAAATGTGAAGTCATGTTGTGTTCTAACTGGCTACTGTACTAGCTTCCCGGACAGGTCGCGGACTGGACGTAAACGGAGCAGTTCTTGAAGTGTCTCCTCTATTGTCATCTACTAGCTAGTTATTTGCTTGCCTGGACTTGCTGCGAAGAAGCGCGTGATCGCAAAAGGCTCTGTGCAATGCTGCGCGGATAATGTCCCGGTCAAAAGCCTTCGTTGAGTTATCAAAGCCCTTTTCGTTGCACCTCTAGAACTTCTCATAGCTAGCGACGATGCGTGCAAGACAATCACAATTGTCCCAGTGAAATAGCTACTGAGACAGATGGCCTATTGGATTTAAGCCACAAAGTTATTGTACTTTCCTGGAATTATGGGACTTCGAACACATAAGCGACAGTTAATTAGATTTATTTACAAATTCCATTGCTGGGACTTCCGCTTAACAGACATGAAACATCTGGGAACAAATGTTCTCTTTGAAGCTGAGCCAATCACACACGGATCCATAAGGAACAAAGGCGACGTGGTTTTGCCCACGTAGGTCTGAATCTGGTTGACTTATAGTTTCACTACTCCGAGTGAAAAGAGAACAGTTACGTCTGGGGTTTTAGGCATTAGGAGCAATAACTACTTCTAGCTAGCACATGTGGTACCGACTTCGTGGTACCGACTTCGTACCACTACCAAGATGCAACAAACTTACAAACCTCCAAACTTACTTATAAGAAAGCTCTTGTTTATTTTTACTACAGGGTTTTGGGTTCCCCATCTCTTCCCCCACACTCAGTTTCTCTTATCTGGTACGGTACGATCTTAGCTGGCTGCTAGCTACCTGGTAGCTGCGAGATTATCCTCTCTCTCTTTCCTCACTTCACACCCGGTAGTATCTGGATGATTTATTTCACCACAACTCATGTCCTCCATGCATTCAAACACCTACAAGAGCAAGCCCCGGCCTCTAGCTAGGTTCTCTATAGCTCGCTCTTCTGTTCCGAATCCTCCAATCCGAATGAAATTGCGAGTTTGGTACGATACCAGCCGCCAGAACAACTGGCCGGGCCAAAACGAAAGCTTCACTCCGCTTCACTCCGCTTCAATCTTGTCTCAATCCACCCTAGCTACCTACCGGTACCTACCGTTCCAGAGCTCCTCTCAACTTGTCCCAGGGCTCTATGCCTTTCATGAATTGAATGATGAATCTCTAGCTCTACTCCAGACTAGTAGCTATTAGCTAGTAGCCACTATTAAGAATCCCCAAAAATCTAAATCCAATCCAATCATCAATCATGCAATCGTCAACGAAAGTGCAAGCACTGGTCGCTGTCATTGGTGGTGCAGTGCCTGATACATAGGCTCGAGCTGGTTCTAAATCCGTACCGGTACCAGATTTCCTTCCCTTTAATGCAACAAGTACCGGGCTCGTCGCCAAAAGATCCAAAGGATCAAGATTCTCAAGCCCTGTCTTCCAGTCTTCTTCCACCTCTTCTTCCTCTTTTGGAGATGAGGAAGGGCCAACAACCCTTGGGAAGACCATTTCTCTTGTTGTAGTAAGAACCAAAGGACGTATTATTGCATGGCATCAGCCTTACATCGTTCACAATGAGCGGCCTTGCAGAGAACAACAACAAAGACTATGGAGCCACCAGCGATGAACAAGAAGTTTGTTGGAATGAGGAGGCTGGAAGAGCCTCTCTGCTGAACAACAGCAGCAATGGTAGCAGCAGCAACCGAAGGAACAGTGTGCGAGAAAGCATTCTGATCATGCGCCAGAGCATACGAGAATCGACCGCAAACTTGGTTCGTTCATCCATAACGCTCTCATTTGGAGGTCGTCAGTGCAGTGTTCGCTCAACTGGAGGTACCGCGACGATTGCCACCGAGTTTTTCAATCTGGTCAAGAACTTGGTGGGAGCAGGAATGCTGGCCATACCTGTAAGTTAGTTTGAACTGGCTCGTCTGTTTTCAAGCGAATATTATACTTTGCGTAGCTAAAGATTCTCCCTCTCTTCTCACTTTTCTTGTCCTGGTTGACAGAATGGTGTGTAAGTGCCCTTCAGATCCAATTCCCACGGCTGACTTTGTCATTCCAATCACTCAATAACTCCATATCTGGATTGCCCGGTCTTGTCTTGACATGCAGTGCTGCCTTTGCCGATGCTCCATCTGCCCTGCTCCCAGGAGCCTTCTTTACCTTTCTCATGGGAGCCATCTTTGGCTACTACTTTACGCTGATTGGACGTACTTGTCGTCTCACTCACACCGCCACATATCGAGAGGTATGGGCAGTTCTATCTATACTCCTCCCTCTCGTGCTGTCGATGCAGATTCCTGAATACGTTTCTGATTCTCTTCTGTCTTTTTGATAGGTTTGGGAGCAGACAATGGGAGATGGACAGTCGCTGGCCATCATTGTCAGTCTTGTCAACATGACCAAGCCCGCATTGGGCAATTTGGCCTACTCCATGATTCTAGCAGACACCTTTCGATCTCTCTTTGCCGCCGTGCAGGTAGAGGTGTCCCGGACGATGTCACTCTTATTGATTACATTTCTGGGATTGTTGCCTCTATGTCTCTTGAAGAATCTCAGTGTGTTGGCACCGACCAGTATGCTGGGCGTATTTGGCTTTGCAGCTACGACTGTTGTCATGGGAATCCGATACTTTGATGGCAGCTACGCCGAGGGCGGAAAGTTCGCAACGGTGCGTAGAAATAATGCTGTGCTGGGTTAGTCAACTGCAGCAGGATGAGGAATGCGACCAAAGGCAACCAGCCGCTGACGACAAGCGTTTTCTTGTGTCACTTTCGCACACAAACAGGATATGGAAGAGAAGTATCAGCCTGTCTTTGGCAACCAAGGCGCCAGTGCGGCCTGGACCAATCCAAAGGTTTTGGTCCTTGTTTGCATGCTCTTCGAGGCATTTGTGGCACACTACAATGCTCCTCGATTCTACACGGAACTCAAAAACAATACGGTCCAACGATACGCTTTGATGACAACCTACTCTTTTGGTGCTTCCAGTTTGATCTATTTCCTAGTCATGGTGTTTGGATTCCTCACCTTCGGTAAGGCTTGTGATGGCTACATTCTCAACAACTACAGCAACAACGATCCAATGGCCACCTTTTGTCGACTGTGCGTGGCCATGGCATTGGTCTGTACCTACCCAATCGTCTTTGTGGGAGTCCGGGATGCGTTCTTGGACCTGTGCAAGATCCCAATGGAAAAACACACTTCTACCAACTTGAACATTGTCAGCGTCTTTCTCTTGACGATCATCACCGCTATCGCTGCCTCTATTACTGATCTTGGCCTGGTCAACGCCGTTGGTGGGGGGACGTTGGGAACTATTGTGGTCTTTGTTTTCCCAGCAATCATGTTCCGGGCTGCTGTGGAGCAGCAACACCCCGATGACATTGACGATGGATCTCTCTGGGAAGTTAACTTCGCAATTGCACTGATGTGGTTCGGTATCATATTGGGAATAGTCGGTGTCTACATGGCAGTGACAGAATGAGGAAAGACGTAGACGGCTGAGCAGAAACGAACGAAACACGCACTTCTTCCAATGCGATCCTACATGTAGCTAGCTATGTTTCTCTCCAGTGGCGTTGGAATTGACAGTGACAGGCTTGGGCTTGGAAAAGCTCTAGCTGGCAACTGCTTGATGCAGCTGCCCATCAACAAGTTCACATTGGTTGAAGTTGCTTTCACTCACCTGCCTGCTTGCACGGGACAAGCACGATTACATCTTGAATGGTTCGTGGCGGTTGAAGTGTTTGGGTGCGTTGTAGCTAGCTTGCTTTCCAGTATGCATAGTAGATGTAGCCATGAATGTTTCGTGGGAGTTGTTTGTGGTATACACGGCTGTTTTCAGTTCGTACAATTCAAATATTCTACGATGCAGAGTATGGATTTATCAAAGCAGCAAAAAGTGAGAATACTAAATAATTTTACTGGGATTGACATTGGCCTTCGCAATGATAAAAAGCTCTTCGGATTGAGGTACACACCGTTGGAAAACAATGACGTGATCCCTCTTCCAACCGGGGCTACGGCATAATATCGTATTGCTCAGGAGGGCTCCAGTCACACAGCCAGCCAGCATCATGTGGCTGTTGGTGACCATCCAGACGAATAGCAAGACTGCCTCTGTCTCCACCAAGATCTCTGGCTATGGGTCGGGCGATACCCGTAGCACGTGTTGCTGTCCACTAGCAACCGGTACCGGTAGCACCACCGCCACCACCAACTGTGCTTCTCCGTGCATGTTCCCAGCTAGCTACATCCAGCTAGCTACATCTAGATGTTTGACTGAGATACTGTTGGAACGAAAGTGGCACCCACCCGATAGCTCAATTTCACAATGACAAAGAAATACTGCTAGTATGTAAGTGTACTTTATATGCATGCATGCAAATGCAAGGGATTGTAGGATCGGCTTGGAGGAGATCGGAAAGGACTGTTTTGGACGTTGGGCGTCAAAGGCGCGCACTAGGAATCACTGAATTGCATGCCATGCTACCACCGACTCTCCAGCACTTGGAGTACAGCTTGCAGGCAAGAGTGACTGAGGGGAGGCTATCGTTTGGCTCTTCTTCTCTATGGGGTTGCATGCCACCAATCATGCCGCGGGGGCAATCGATTGGTGCTCGCCGGGGTCTTGGTTTACCAGATAGTTCCTCAGGTTGAGCATGAGTAGCCCGTCAAGCGCAGAGCGGACTCCGTTCGCATCACCGAGGGTGAAGCAAACATCCGCCAAATGGCTCAAGGAAGCAGATGATATCTGTAGCTTTTCGTCTTCGTAGGTGTCTGGAAGGACGCTCATGAGTTGCAGGCAATGGCTGTACAACATCCCTGCCTTTTGCAGGCACTGCTCTGGCTTGGCATCTGTAATGTAGGCATAGTAGTGAAACGCTACACCAAGATTGAACATGATTAATGAGCTGCATACCGTGTAGCTCTCGTAAGATCCAGGCGTTGCCGAATGGATCAGATAGGCGTGGCTCCAGTTGTCCTCAGAGAGTCGTCGTTCAAAGCGCACTGTACCTGTTCTTGGGGCGGCCATGCCCAACTTTTCAGTGGCGGAAGGGCTCAGGCTGTCACAAGCAGTGCGGAGGGAACTTAAGGCTTGCTTGAAGCACTTGGCGGCAGCATGGTGATAGCCAGAGGTGAGCAAAATAACTCCCTTGGTGTTTTGGTCGATGGCGGCTTGCATGATGTTCAGAGTTGTGTGAGTTTATTGTGTCGTTTCTGAAATATTGTGGGATGAACTCTTCTTTTCTTTTATCGGGCCAGTTGAAAGTTGGTTTTGGGAAGTCCAATGAAAGCGAATAATCACCTGTGGCGGTGGTAGTCGGGCAATCTTGGTCAGCACCATAAGGCGAATACAGGTGCCAAGCTGCCAATTCCTCTGTAGCCGGCTACCATCTTCCACTTGGTGACGCTTGACACCCCAACGCACTCTATGCGAAGGCTGACAATTCTTGAACTTTTTACCTGACTTTGTGGTCGAGTTGAGGAAGACTGGGTCCTTGCGAATCCGAGCAGGTCATTCGGGCCTATCACAAATGTCTCTACATTTTAATATGTACAATCAGGTGTTAGGTGTTCTCGTCATGTTCTCTTCTCTACTCCTCTAGCAGTTCTTTTCTTTTGTCTTCGGGACCATCCTATTGCTGTGGCTTCCCCGAAAGCCTCTCCTCTCTCCTCTGTTCTTTCTCTTCCCTTCCGCCGTCGTTTTCGGAGTTGATATTTTCGATGTTGATGGAGAACTTGAGCTCTCGAGTACATGCGGTACTGTATTAATACCGAGTACCGAGTGTAAACCGGTAGTACCGGTACCGGTACGGGGGGATGGAGAATGCCTATGGTACCCACCAATGTTATCAGTGATGGTTTCGCCTGCCAACAACTGTTGCCAACCACTGTTGCCCAAGACATTGGGGCCATTGTTACCACTGTCTACAACTGTTTTCCACTATCTCTAACGCTGTTTTCCAGTATTGCCATTTTCATACCGGTATCTGTTCCAGCCGTTGTCTACCACTGCAAAAGCACTGTTTACCACTGCCTACTAGGGTTGTGGTGGCTCTGATTGGGGATGATGGAGCCGATTTTCTCCATCCCCCGGAGTAGTTTTGTTTTCAGCATTGGAGTTCCCATGATGTGTTGACTCAATGGCTGTGGCGGCTGTGTTCCAGAGAACCTATTTTGGAGAGAAAGAAATAAATATCCTTAGCGGAACAGAATGACGACGGCTCTTTGCTTCGCATAGCGGTACGGTAGGATGGCCAGCTCTGTCCATTGTTCGCATCGGAATCAGATTCTGTGTCGGCCCTGTAGGCTCACCCAACCACTTTTAGCCCAGCCCTGTAGGCTCACCCAACCACTTAGCCCAGGATACAGCAGTACTAGTAGCGGCATCTACGAAGCTCCCATCCGCACATCCGCACCTACAAGAGCTTTGGTAGATTGATTTAGATTCACGCGGACGCTGAAGCTCGATATTGCGTTTCAAGTGCAGCATCTCAGAAAACAGAAACAATACAAGCTAGAAGTCTTGCAGTTCGCACGGCAATTGCCTGCCCCTGGAGACTGTTATTTGTGGCAACCAACTGCAAGAGTTGCCAACCTAGTGTTCACATTTTGCAGCCATGCCAACTGACCTTGCAGAACCAAAGACCTTGGTCCTTTTATGATTGGGATGTGCGTGGTCTTGCCTGGTCTCCTCTGCGAACCATTGTTTTCTCTCACAAAACTGATATTGCCACCAACCAAGCTGCCACCATCATCACGAGACCAGTGCAGGACGCAGCTGTAGCCTGTAGCTCCCCAAGAGCACACAAAGAAGCATCAGAATTGATATGTCATTTCTGCTTCGTTTTCTTGATGGTAAACTGTGAAGGGCAGCTTTTCCTGGTTCCTTCAAGGCTGAAAGACCAAACCCGCACTGCTAGGCACCCCCCGTTGGCTCCTAGAGATTCCTATTAGCCTGTCCTCTTCGGTGTCCTGAATCCTGAATGGGAACTGTGTCGTCTTTTTTTGCTGGTGAGCTGGTGAATGGTTTGCGACTCTTTTCGAGATGGTAAAGAATTGCTTGCTCCCCGGTGCCAGGTGGATCACTTGTTGAATGGGAATGCTCAATACAGCCCAACCGAGCAATCGTCAAGATACTAGCTAGTAACTGGTACCGAATCGGATCGTATCATTTGAATCCAAACCAGCACAGCGGAAACATCCAGATATTGAATTCAATCAACAGAAGATCCTCCATTCAAGAGTCCAAGTTTCTTCCCAAGAGAGCAGGCAAAAATCTTGACCGGGAGCGGGGCCGTTGCAGAGGCAACGACGGTCCCTTGGACATGTTCTTTTGGAGCCCAGCTTGTCCTCATCGTTGCCGCTTCGTCGCTCGCCAACAGCTATCGCCCCTCTTCTGATCGGATACAGCTTGGAAGATCCATTGTCGAATCAAGAATCCAGTTAGCGGTTACCGATACGACTTTTCATTGTGGGTTGTCGTTTTACACGCCTTAGTCTTGGCGCGGTTTGGGCTTCGTTTCAATGCCCATGCAGTTCAGCCATCTATACTTGAACATCGTCAAGCAGCAATGCCCGCGTCATTCGTTCCACTTGCTTTTCGTCATGAGATATCCAAAGAACACTCAATCCACCGTCATCATGTTCGTCTGTGGAAGGTCCTTGTCGCTGTCGTAGCAACTGTTTGACAATGGATTGTTCTACTGCCTGTTTGGATTCACCATCGAGGGCGCTCGTCGATTCGTCCACCAACAAGACAAGCGGGCGGGATGCCATGGCAATAGCCAGGGTAACCCGCTGTGCTTCTCCTCCCGACAACTGCGACCATTCCTGGTCCAAGAAAGTATCGGCAGGATGCAATCTCCATTCCTCAAGAAGCTCTCGCATGGTGAGTATCATCTTGCCAGCAGTGGGAGGGCAATCCTGGTGCTCCATGTGACAAGACTGACGTTGTTGCTTCCAGGATCGAAACGAGGCGATCCGATGAATGAATTCACGCGGCGTCCCGGGCATTTGGACCTTGCTTTGAGGCACATACCGGACTTGACGTCTCCAATGCGCCGGTGTATGACGCCCCATTGAATGTTGATGCTGATCCCAGCCAAGACCGGACAAAACCATCATGGATGTCCCAGACACTTCATTATCTGCAGGAGTCAGTCCAGCAACGATGCGTACAAGCTGACTCTTGCCCGATCCTGATACACCTTTCACAAACACCAAATCACCGGCGTGAACATCTATAGTAATGTTCTCAAAGAGGACTCGCTGTTGAATGGATCTTCGAATCCCTCCAAGTTCGAGCAGCGGCGCAGATTGTTGTAGCCCCTTTAAGACCTGAACTTCAATGGTGCCTTTCGTCGTCATGGCCTCCTTGATGGATGAAGCTGGTGTAGTGTCTGTCAACCCATCGTCTCCACGGAACCCAAGAATGGCCAAGAGTGCAGTCACCAAACCAAGCACAGCCGAGAGCTTGTCTTTGTTTGATTTCTTGGGTACGAATCGCTCTGCCACGAGCATGTGTGTTTTTGTATCGACTCCTACATACAAGGCGCAGTAGAGAGTTTGCAGTAGAATGACTCCGACCGTACAAACGGCGATCAAGTAGAGAATCAAGAGTTGGTATCGAGCCGCCTGGACTGTTGTGGTGCCTCCAAGCAATTGGCCTGGAATGAGTGTGTGCGTGTGTGGACGAGCAAGTGCAAGTACCAAGTGCAAAACAAAAGTTAGATACAGATGTCCAGAAACAAGTTTCTCGTGTATTTTGCTAAAGTACAGCAACTGACCTGTCATCATGCCTTTTGAGTGGACGAGCCAGTGACAAAACCGAAAAGAGTTAGACAAAACAACTGAACTGAGTTTATCATGTGTCTTGATATCACCCTTACCTGGGATGGAGATGATTCCCGTGACCCTCAGCATCGTCAACACAGGTGTGGCCCCTGCCAAGATTGCCTCGGCCAAGAGCCGTTGTAATGCTTCAAAGGGTGTGGCTCCAAATGCCAGCATCAGTTCCAATTCTGCCGATTCCTCGACGAATGCTCTGGAGATAGCATTGATACTGAGAGTAATACCGTTGATGGAGTTTCCCAGCAACATTCCAACGACGGGGATCACGTAGCGAGGAGTGTGCCATGGTTGCAAGTGCAAGACGACTTTGAAGGTGAATGCTGCCACCAAGGATATCGTGGTTAGCAGTGACATCAAAATGGCTTGGAATTGACCTGGAGAGGCATATTGGGCTCGCGACGAAACTTCTTGTGCTGCCAGGACAATCATCATGGTCGAATATGCAATCACCACAATTGCATGTTTATGGCCCCACGTAAAGATGGGATACAATATCGTCCCCAATAGAGAAAGCTGAAGC